TATCAGAAAAAGAGAAGAGGGGTGAGAAAGAAAACAATCTCACTGGGATGCTCGCTAGTTCATCCCTAGCAGACTACCCTTAAGGGAATATAGACACCAACAGGAAAAAAAAAATGTTGGTCATCCATGATCTAAGGTCCACCTTTCCCAAATTCCTACATTTGTGCATATGCAGGTTCCTTACAGCAGCTGCTAAGTAACAGAGCTATGCAGCCCTTTGGATTTGAAGGGGATAAAGTGCTCCAGAGTTTGCATGGGCATGCCTATAGCTTGTCTTGGGAACTCCCCAAGCCACACGTGTCTTGCCCCAGGGCAGGAAAGATACAGCTGCTCTCAGGAGTTGCCAACAAGTGCTATGCGAGCACCCCTAAGCACACTTTTCCCTTTAAATCCAAGGCACCTAGAAATAATTGTCAAGCATTGTGACTTTAAACAAGCCCTGGAACAGCTCTACAATAATACAGTTTTTGGTTGTTCTGTCTTGGTGTGATGGCAACATGATACTAAGGGTCTATGCAAAATGGAGGCACAGTGCCTATATAAGAAATTGTAGCTATTTTCCATTGGATCTACAAGTGAGGTCACAATGAACTTTCATTCATGGATCTCTTTGCTTCATTTTTGGAATTACTGCATGGAAAAAAAATCTCTCAGACTACTTATCAGAAGCCACAGCAATGGATTCTCCTTTTAAATTCTGTACTTCTGATATCCTTCTGGTGCTATTGATCAAAATATTGCAATTTCAAAATATGGAGAGAACTAAAAGTATAATCTACTTGGGAAACTATGGATAATAGTTTCATAATAATTAATGGTAATAAAAGCCAGGTAACTATTAAGCAATGGAGCCTTGATTCATGAGTTATTTACAGCTTTATTGGAACAGTTTGGTAACCCCAATTTTACCCTCTGTTGCTATAATGCTAGCCCTGTCTTCTCCCAAGTCATGCTTTAAGGAGCAATATCCTACTCAACGGTGAACCGGAGAACACAGAATAATAGACTTGAAATTAGGGGCATCCAAGGGTTGAGATCAAAATGGACATGCTGGCAGCTGTGGCTATGCAACTGAAGCCCTGCCTGTACAATGCACACGTGCAGAAAGGGCAGAGCTTCGCTTGTGTAGCCATGGTCACTCTTTTGACATTTTTGACCTTCCTCTCCATGGATGCCCCTGATCAGTACAACTCATCATTATGCCAGAAGTTCCTTCTGCCATCACAGCAATGGATGGATTCTACTCAAAACATTACTAATAAGAAAAGATTTACAGCCTCTTAATGTTAAAAAAAAAAATGCAAGCAGACCTGCTAAACCAGATTAGATTATAATAGCTAAACTCCCAGGACTTTATTTTCTGCTTCCCTACTGTGGTTAGAAGGAAAATAATTGCAAAACGCTGCATGAATGAGGAAGTACTAAGATTCTTTCATAACGTAGGGCCAGTTGATTTGACATTTACCATGGTTTGCCCTTGTAGAATTCATTTTTCTTGTAACAAATACTGTGGGGAGGTTAAAGCTGGATCTGAATTATAATCTGATGGCACAGGCTCTTAATTCTTTGCCTATGGTTTGTTTAAGATTGGAACAGCTGCTCCTTCTTGCACTGGCTATGCACGCATAGAAAGAAAGACTCAATATCATTCCTGTGCCACAGTTGCCATCTGTCTCGGCTACTCCTTTAAAAACCAAGGAGAAATTCTAATTGAAAAAGAAAAGGTACATAGCAAACCTTTTGTCTAGCGTAAATCTTAAGCAAAGTCTTTGAACCTAGACTCCACACTGAAGCCCACTGGGATAAAAGAAACTGAATTCCAGAATTATAACAAATTCTTATTTCTTCATTTAAGGACATAAGAGTTGTAATGGAACAAAAGCCAATTTAGTCCAGTGTTCTACTATGGCGATCAACCAGACATTTCTAGGAAACTTACAAACAGAATATAATAACGGCAATAGCATCTTCTTACTTGTAACTGATATTAAGAGTCCCCCATTTCTAATACTGAGGATATATATGATTATCATAACTATTATCCACTAGTTTTGCCATCCATGGATTTATTCCATTCTTTTTTTAAAGCTGTTCAATTTTATAACCACCATTACATTTCATAGTAGGAAATTCCAGTTTGATCATGTATTCTTTGAATATTTTGCTAAACTATCTCAACTTTCTACCATTCAGCTTCACGGGATATAGTGCTCTTTGTTCTATTTTTTGCAAATTAAATTTAAAGTAAAACCTAAGTGTCTAACACTACTGCACCCTTCTTCCCTACATTTTCACTTTTAACAGACTTCTTCAATGTAACAATCCTCCAAATGTGCTGGAATTACGACTCCCAGTATCTCTCTTGTCTCTACTGGCTGGGGATGTTGCCCTGCAGTTGTGACATGACCGTGTGGGGGGAAAGATGGCTTATATCGTCTGACTATGCAGTCCGTTTAGGTGCAATGTTGTTCAGTGCTAACTGCAACAATCTTACTTTGTTAATAAATCTGTAGCAGAGTCAGAGAACATTAATGTTTGAATACTGTGTTGATTATTACAGGGCAGAATTTATAGTTTATTTTTAAAAAAACAACCTAGAAAGATATCCAGTTAAATTATGAACTAGGAATAACAATTCATACAATGCACAATGAACAATCTGTGTAACTTATTACGTTTGCTTGCATAAAAAACAGTAGTCTATAATTTTTTTTAAAAGTTGACCCTGTTATCATATTATCACCACCATTGTATGAAGCAACCCTGTAAATGATGTCAGTGAGTTTTATGTGTGCACACTAGAAAATAATTGAAATTATTACTGAAATTGCTTCAGTAATTATGTTGATTATTTGTTCCCTCTCCCTTTGCCAATGTCCTCAAATTTCATTAGTAAGCTTCAGTATTAACTTTGAATTACCAACAGTCTTGATTGTTCATACGTATAGTACAACATTTTGCTGTGAGTAATGGCATGCACAGATATTTATTGACATTTGTTGGAGCTGACCAACAGGAAGTAGGCTGTTTCTTGTTCTTGCAGTTTCTTCCAAGAAACATTCAGCAATGACTCCCATGTTACAGGAAATGTAAGTAAGAATGTAAAAGTGAAAAAAGAAATGTTTCAGAAAGAGGCTGCTCTACTTCAGACTGTTTTTGATCAAATCTACTTCACTTTGAAACCAAGATGGAAGCTCGTTCCAGTTTTCTGAAATTTCAAACAGCATCCTATTGACAATAATGGGAAAGTCAACAAGTATCTACAATATATTTTTTCCTCTTTTAGAATTAGAAAAAAAATATAAGCATAATCATACCTTGTGAATGGATGAAGCTTGATCAGTTTTCATGCAATATGATGTAAGAGTTTTGTGCAAGCAACCTTAAAATTTATTTTGGGTACCAGAAAATGAATTTTGCCATGCCATTTTCTACTCTCAGAAATTACCAACACATGGTTCTCCTCTCAGGTGGAGTGTTCCATATGCATATGACTACCTCTGGATATGTATCTCTGTAACATAATGGTGTGTAATGCAGAGTTGGAGCAATATTATTATTCACAGAGACCTGGACCTACAAACGCTGAACGTAAATATGACAGTAGTCAGAATGGGATATGGGGAGATGGAAATGATTTGCCTAATATATTAACAAAACACGACTGACACAGACAAGCAATAGCAAGAGTAAATAAGATTTAGGAAATAGATTTTGGTCTGGATTGGAAGAACAAGTTCACACAAACACATACACAGAAAGGGAGGAGGGAGAATAAAGTCTAGCTTGAGCCCAGGAGCTCTGCCTGAGGCAATTATTCCTGCAATGGATTGATGTACTGCCCCAAACGGTTTGGAGATTGGCCATGATTCATAGGAAAATACCAATTTTGCTTCAGTTTCAATGAACCAAAATGTTACTAAATATAAATAAATTCAGCTCCTAGAAACAGATGTCATAATAAGATCAATCAGGTTAGAAATCAATATTGAAGTGAAGCAAAACATTAGTGTAAAAGTGTTCTAAGACCTTCAAAGCAGTCCAGTTTGATTTGTTATTCAGGCTTTGGCTAAAGCAAAAATATGCATATAATATTATTTTAGAAGCCCTCTTTGTATGATGCAGATAAATAATTCTTAAATGATTAGAAACATAAATAATTCTGCAGAGTTCCCAGTTATGTTCTTAAAGAACTTCTGTAGTATTAAACTGATTCATCCATATTTTGTCCTGCAAGGGAAAAATACTCATTATAAAATTAATGTATTATATAACATGTTATAAGAAAGATTAATTAAATTTATTAAATTGGCTGGATTCAGATGGCCATCAACAAAAAACTATGTAGGCCTTAAATACAAGCCCCTTGAATTGAATTGTCATTATTAAATGATATAATTGCCAATTGTTCTGCCCTAACTCAATCCAGGTTGAAATTCAATTCATTTTAGTCTGCAACAAGAAAGTACACTGAAAATGAACAATAACTGTTTTTATTTGTGAAAAATGGGTGAAATAGGGGTTGTTTACTGTATTAATTGATTTAAATGTCTTGGAATAATTAATCCTAGGAAAATAAGTGTTTTTTAATTTAAATATTTCAGACTATTTAACCTGGTATTGATTGGTTTTGATATAAATAGATGGATAACACTTCCTATGAGATTATGAGGAAAAATAAATGTGGTGAAAATGAATATTACTTAGGATGTCTATATTAGTTTTGATCAGACTGATCTATTTTATCAAGTGACCCATCTCAGCCCCAGGCCTGGGCATCTACAGGGGGGCGGGAAATGATTAAATGTGCATCACTACATTGCAAATTCTACCCTTTTTTAATTTGTATTATGACATTATATTTTGTTGCAGTTTTGTCTTTTTTTTTTTGGACAGTTTAATAACTACAACAGCAGCAATAACAACAAGTATTGTCCCCAAATCCTCTCATCTTAGCTTTACGTTATCTCTCACATAAAGAAGAATATGATTTCCCATTATTTTAATATGTGTTCTTTATTCTGTTGCAAATCACACAAACATTACTGAAAAAAATGGACCTTATTCCCGACAGGCACTGCTGGGCAAATCATATATACAAAACATTATGAGCAGAGCAATCTCTGTCAATTTCTCCATGTTATAATTGTTTCTGCAGTAAACATGCATTCAAATCCAGGGAATAACAGACATGTCATTGAGAGCTCGCCTTGCACAGTGTGCAACATTGAAAAAAAATGTTCTTTTTTTTCAGTCATGATCTCTCCCAAAACCCCTAGCAATCTGTCACATAATACAAGGGGTCTGTGAAACCCCAATGGAGAAAGGCCGCTCTGAAGGGATGACTAATATGTATCATGGAATCAGGAATATTACCTGTCCACATAGTGATGATTAATCAAATTCTTAGCCCGATGAGGTAAGTTTAAACAACTCCCCCAGAGTTTGAGCCAATATGTTTTTAACAAGTTGCCTTTTTAAAAAAATCCATTTTCATAGAGATGTTTGCATACAGTGATTATACAATATTCACTGTATATCTGAATCTAGATAATTCCCCCACCCCACTCCCTTTATGCAGGAATTTAATTTTGAAGGTAGTACTAACCAGTCAACTGGAAAAATGCTACTACTGTAAAAGTGGAAATCAATTTGGAGAAACTTCACTGAATGTACAAATTATTGTCATGTCATTTATCATTAGCGGTAATATATTTTCTACCTGTCTTCTGTGTTATTTCAGGCAAGGCTCTCTCTTTTTCTCCTTCTATCCTCTCTTTTCATAAAATTATGTAGAGTTAATTAGGCTTGCACTGTCCTGCATGCAATGATTTGTTTCCAGAGATTTCAGTGAAAGTATTTAAATGGAGAAGTTAATGGCAGAAGTCTTTATAACTTGACTCTGTAAAAAGGGTCTCAAACTTCCTGATACCTTATTCTCAGTTGTAGTTCTGACAGCCCACTGAAATCAAGAGGAAATGGACATGTATATAGTTTCCTCAGCCTAGGAACCTTTCTTACTGAAATATTTGGGAGATTAAATTTGCACTGATCAATTGTAACAGGTACAACCTGTAGTCACCCATATAGGTAAGATTTTTTTCTCTGGGGCCAAATATCTCACACATGTTCATCCTACTGCCAGCAGAACCATGTCACTTCAGGCCCCCTTTATAAAGAATGTTTGGTATGTTCTGTTAGTAATTTGGGTACTTTTACTTTATTCTTCTGCCAGCAGATTTTAAAATGCATTTATCAATCAAAATTAACATACAAAAGAAAATGTCAAAAGAAATCAGGGCAGCAAGACCTCCTTGGAGAATTCATTTCCTACTATCTTATCTCCAAGAATCTTATTTTGAAAATGTCACAGAATACCAGCTTCTTAAAAACTATTCTCAGATCATCCTAATCTCAGATTATTGCCAAAATGGTTATTTAGAATGACATCAAGTACTCCAAGAATTACTAGGCACATTCATATAGAAAACATCCCATATTGCAAGGATGTCTGCAGGTATGGTCAAAAAACCCAAGATGGCAGCCGTGTTGGTGTGATTGAAGCTCCTCTTGGTCTTTATGTGTGTCACCCCATCACAGCCACCATCTTGACTTTTTAAACCACACTCTGCAGACAGCCCTGCGGTATTGTAAACCATAAGTTAAACATCTTCAGTTATTTTTTTCCCAGTTCTGGAAAAGTCCTTTCATAAGCAGATTTGGATGATGCATTTAGACCCTGGGCTTGGTTCTTTGGGGTGATAAAGTTGAGTAGTTCAACAGCTGTGGCCATACCAAATACCATCTGTTTCATGAAGGAGGTGCCATCGGCATTGTCTGGAAGCAGACAGAAAAGAAAGAGGAGTATATTTCCAAATTAGAATGAAAGAAAGCATCCAATAGTATCTTGTTTAATTCAAGACTGACTTCAATCTTAAAACATAGCAGATGCAGACGAACTTGTCTCACTGATTGCAAGTAGTCTGTCAGGCCTCACCCTTTCCTGCCAGATGGGGACAGAAGCCTGGAGCCAGTCATGCCTTTTTGTGCACCAAGGAACACAAAAGATTTGGAATGGAAGGCCCAGTTTCTTCCTTCATCCCAGATCATTGATTATTAGAGACAGACTTTGTTGTTAAGGCGACCATTACAGTGATTATGGTAGGGTTATATACCTAGGCTATGAAAATCCAGATGACCGCCCCCCCCCAAAAAAACATTAAACCTGTGTACATAAAGAGCTCCACATAAGACCAGACAGGCATTTCAGAAAGCACTGGTCAATAGGCAGAGGTTCTAATGAAAGCCAGGGGTCTGATTTCTCTTGCAATCCAAACCAAAATAGCCATGGAGGACAGTTCCTGCATCTGGGTGCATGCTTGAAGGGTGCATGCCTGGAGTAGCCTAAAAGGGCCGGTCGATACCAGGAAGATCCCATACTTGGCTGTATTGTTCGCCACACTATCAGTGAAGCATGCTAGATCATATGCATAGCCCAACTGTGTCAGGAGAAGAGAGAAAATGATTCAAAAATGGAAGAGCTAAAGACAACCTTAAGCTGCCTCAGATATGGCCTGGGGATGAGACAAAGTCAACATCATAAAGACATACCATATAAAAATGGTTACTGGGATATGGTTATGCTCCAGTGAGGGCATTGTGAGAATGAACCCAGAATACTGAGTGAAAATTCTCAATGCCCTATGAACTCCCTTCAGGACCTCTGCCAAGATATTCCCTCAATAGATATTCTTTCTTATGAGTGGTGCAAAAGCAGTTCAGATATATCTGTGTCTACCTCAACCATCATTCCTTGCTCTGAGGAATTGCCCTGTGGGGCCCAGCAGGCATCCTGTTCTGTTCATGTTATTACTGTGGCAAGAAAGTTTTGGCAGGGCTCTCCAGAGAGCCTACCAATACTTCATACTGAAAGGTCATCCCACAGAGCAAGGCACTGGACCTGGCAATTGTTCCAGAGATCTCCACATGCTGTGTTCTTGCAGTAAGCAGGTGGGAGAGGCCGATCTTCCAGCCCGCTTAATTCTTTATCCAAGGTAAGAATCTCAGCTTGCCTTATTTGATAGCTAGCTTTAATTTGAATACCTCCTAAAATCAAGAGATGGAAGATTTTAGAAAAGATGAGCCTTGTTCATGGGACTATTTTTAATAATGATTGCTATTGGTACTTACATTGCTCCAGTTCATGCACTATAACAGCAAAGTGTTCATTTTCCAGGATACGTGAAAGTTTTCCCAGGGTGTCATCCAGATTAATCTGTGGATCCCAAATAATGAAGTGATTCAAATGGTTACCAGCAGCCCAAGATCAAGCTCGCCATTCAGAATTCCTCCCACATATTGCCCTGTTATAAGCTAGATCTTACATGGAGAATCTGTGCTTATTTGAAGTCATTTTGCAGCAGCAGTAGCAACACCTATCACTACCACCTTTATTTGGTCAAAGACTACTCCCTTTGAATGATACCTACCCACCCCTAGTTTTCCTGAGAAAGGAGGGAAATAGGATAATGGCATGGAGGACCCAACTTATATGAAGCTCTGGTGATGAAACTCTCAAAACCAAGGAAAGATCCTGCCTTGAAATCTAATTTATATCCTACCTGCTCTTAACTGTGTTCTCTGTATCCCGAAGCCCATGTACCTCAACTAGGTTTGTACATGCTTGCTCAACTAGGCTTATACTTTAGGGTTTTTTTTTTCCTTTCTTCATAACTTTATGTATTTTTCTGTTTTTTTAATATATATTCAATTAATAAAAGCATCTTTTAAAATGTGTGTACTGTGTGTTCACAATCCTTGCATGTCAGTATGAAGCAACCTAAAAGTCCATCAAGTAAAGGAATAACATGCATGAAACTCTTTTTCACATCCAGAGAACACACTTTGTGAGAAATCTCAAGACAGAATCTCTATCTCTGTCTTCCTACTAATATGTGAAAAGTTTCTGTATGCAATAGGTGGGATATGCACTTAACGAACGCTTCCCCCCCTTCCTTTCCTCTTGGCCTTGCCTCACGTGCAATTTACACTGGCATTTTGTGATCCTATTGTTCACTCTTAGTTACATGACACTTGATCACAAAAAACATTTTTCTGTAAACTAACAGGATTTAGCAACTACAGATAAAAGAACCCTGCATCATCGCCTGTTTTAGAAATGGTGAGGTCAGGTGACCTGCTGCAGTGTACAACCAGAGGTGTAGCTTGAGGGTGTGAGAAAGGTGAGTTCATGTCCCTTTCTTTAGTTAATGGACTATTGGGATATACTAGCCATGGTATTCATCAGACCCTGATCAGTCACCAACCTGACAATACTGGCATCCAAATCCTGAGGTTAATGTATTTGGTAAGCAAGGCACCATGAACACAAGATGAGGGCCACAATCTGGATCCATTTTTGCAAGGAATTAGTGATACATTACATTACCTATGAGTAAGACTCTTTCTCTCATGTGTAACCCCCTTGGCCCTCAAATTGTATCCATAATTTCTGCTTCCTCCTTGTCCTGTTCATTAGACATATATATGGATGCCGTTTTGTGAATCTTTCAACAAGGGTAAAGATAAATACCTTTGAAAATTGTTGATAAGTGACTTTAATCACTGGGTCTGAGAACTGAGCATTTCCTGCCAGGATCGAGGAGAGGATGTTGGTAATAGTTACCATTCCCAGGATGAGGCTTCAAGAAAACACCATTTTTTTTACATTCACACATAGAGAGAGATAGAGAAAGAGAGAGAGAGCATAGACAAAATGTTGAGGGGAAAAAGACAAAATACTTCATCATTCTTGCAAATGCTATGATCTTATTTAGATTTAATGGACATATTAGTCAGAAAACATGTACATTTCCTAAACTAATCTTACTACTGACTGATACAATAGATTAGGACTGGCAGAAAAGATGCTTTTCTCAGTTTTAGAAATGGGATTTAATTTAAAGATGCTTTGGTTAACATGGGGGAGATTATCTATCTATCTATCTATCTATCTATCTATCTATCTATCTATCTATCTATCTATCTATCTTGTTTAACATGTGCTTATCAAATTATTTGCTAATACACATTCTCTGGATTGTTTGTGGAAAACAGGTATAACCTATACTCACACACTCTGGACAAAAGCATAAATACATGACAGAAACAGGGAAAAGATCTGGTAACCTGCTGTAGCATATGAAATCTCTGAGCACTTTCTGTTTCAATGTTAGTTCATTTGAAATGAATCAATGACCATAGCAGCTAATAAAATATTCTTCCATCTTTTTCTAATATGGCATCAAGTGATTCAAGAAAGGTGAAGAAAAGGTCCATGTCATTTTTTCACACTGTGTGATCCAGGTGGGAGGGGGAGTGTCCTTCCTCCTTTCCTATTTTCTAGACATTTAAATATTCAAATGTAACCCTTAGTAGCAAATCTTGTCCACCAAAGATACGGCACTTGCATCAATGGAGCACTGAATGGGGGTAGGAGAGGTGCATGCAAAACTGATTTGCCAGAAGGGCATTTTTTGCTCCTTTTGTTTTATTTTGTTTTGTTTGGAAGTGACAAAGTGGAGTCTTACCAAATCCTTCATATGCAGGGACTGAGTCCCTAATGAGTTTACTGTTCTAAGTATCTATTTAAGGATCCTCTTAATTAAGGGAATTATAGATGATTCTACAATCATAAAGTCAGAAGAATTATCTTGAAGATAAGTGACTGCTGAAACAAGACCACAATTTGTCTAAGACAGAGGTGGATAACTAATAGCCCCCAGCCCCCCAGCCCACAACATTGTGCTATTGGCATTTGGAGTGCCTTTTTGTTTTTGCTTCCCCTAAAAGTTGTTAAATGAATACACTGAGCTTCTTCAAGATTTAATGATTATTTTGCCCTTGGAAATGGGCCCTTGGAAAAATAAAGGGTCACCCCTCCCCCAAAAAGTTGCCCATGTCCAAGCTAAAAAGAAAGTTACCCTGATTCTGCAACAACTGGTGCTTGATTGCATGACTTTTCTTGTAGGATTGCAACTGCTTTTTGACAGTTCACGTCTGGGAGAAGAATCAGAGGGGGAGAAAGGTTCAGCTTCTGCACTTTAATATTCCACCACCTATCAGACAAAAAAGAGTAGCATATATTGTGACTCCTCTGCAGTCAGAATCTGTTCTGTTCTTCCTTAAATATTGTTCTATATACACAGTTTAAATGAAAGAAGACTGAGATAGAGGGTAAACTGACCTTTGTATGGGATTTATTTAATTAATTTTAAAAGGAAATAAAAATTTGTCCTTGGTACACAAGTTCCTTTAGAGATAATTCCTATGATTTTCTTCCAAATTGTGCCTCTCTATAAGAAGTAATATAAGATTTTATAATATAAAACATTCATCAGTGTAACTATTTGTATTTAAAACACATATACACACATACAAACCCACATAGTTTAGTATAGGTATACAAGGCAATTGCAATGCAAATAGGAAAAGATCACAACTATCATGGCAGCCTGGATGCCACCACTCCTAAATAAGGGCAACAAATTTCATAAATAATGCCCAAACTGGAAGAAGTCCTCACAAATTAGCTGGATTTAACTGATTCTCGTTTTTAAAAGCAATGCAGGTACCAAAAGAAATTTGGAAGGGGACATTTAAGCCATCAAATCCAATCTTCTGCTCTGCAAGAATCCAAATTAAAGTATATTTGACATGCTGCTGTCTAGCCTCTCCTTAAACACATCCCATGAAAGGGTTCTCAGCACCTCTCTGGTTAACTGGTTTCAACACAGAGGTTGTTGTTTTTTTTTTAATAACATTCCGTTGGAATCTCCTCTCCATAACTTAATCCATGAATCTATGCCCTGCATGTGAGTGGGTAGAGAATGCATCCTGACGACTCATTAGTTGATTTCTTCCTTTTCAGTTTAATGTTTCTCTAAGGATTATATCTAATGGTGTCATTCTGTTGGTACATGCCATCTCCTCACTGGAACAGAACGAGCACCGAAAGATAGAGCAATTGGAATTGCACTTTGCTGTGAATAAAAGCCACCATTTGACGTAGCCTTATACTGGGTGATGGTGGTGGGGAAACAGGTGAAGTACTTTGAACGTACCAAGGATAATGTTCCTGAACTTCATCTTTTAGAAATCCATTCTGGACCATCCATTTGTCATTCAAAAACTTAGACCTGGAGATAATGAAGAAAGAATGAAGACATTGTGTTAAACCTTGACGTCTCTTCATTCAGGGGGTCCAAACAGGAACCTGGCATCACAATCCAAGCCCTGCTCCTTTCGTACATGTGTGTTATATCAGCACTGCCACAAAAGGGACAAGGCTTACATTGCAACGCCACATCTGCCATCTTGCCTGTTTTGATCCTTTCTTGCTGCTGCTGCATTCATTACTGAACAAATCTATTTAATTACGTTTTTAAATCTTTAAGCTACAATAAGCTTTAAAATTAGGTTTTGTTCAGTAAATTAGCTATTGTTGTGGGGGGGAACTAGATAGAATACATTTTGCATTTTTGGAGGCAACTGCGGAATGATTTATTAAGAAGTTGGTGGTAAAGCTAAAAAGTTGTATAAAATAAAAGCTGGTCTTATTGTTAGGCAACTGTAACAGGCAGCTAATTTGGGATGTCATGAAAAGGCAGTACAGAGTTACTTGTTTTATTTATTATTTTATTTTCACTCCTAGCAAGAGGGTACTTCTGGATTCAATGCATTTTGACTTGGGCAAACACTGTTTGTTTTCCTGCTCTAGCCAACACAGTGTTTTGTGTTGGTTTTGTTTAATACAACTCAGCTGCAAACAGTATTTAGGAAGGAAAAGGAATGGAGTCAAATATCTCCTTTGCTCCATTACTGTGATGGAATGGTTTGATGAAGGCCACGCTCGGGGAGATAAGCATTTCCTTAGCCCCCAA